TTTGATAAATGAGAAAATAAATAAAAGAAGAAAAATTTTTGCAATAAATTTTGCTTTTTGTTATATTTTTTGGATAAAAAAAGTGAAAAATTAGCGTTTTATTACGAAAGAATAAATAATAATTTCAGAGAGAAAAACAAAGAAAAAGTTTATAATTTTCTTATAATTTTATATTAAATTTGTAATTTTATTAATTTTTTAAATAGAGAAATTTCAGGTTTTGTTTAAATTTAATTTTTACATTTTTTGACTTACAAAACTTGTCGCAATGTTATTTTGTGCCACAATTGTCATTGTTTTAACAAATGAAAAGGATCAACGATAATGATTTTTCCATTGAACGGAAGGAAATTGGCAAAATTAAAATATCAAAGAAAAATAAAATTTTTTTTTAAAATTCTTTGACAAAGTATATTGGCAATAAGTAATTTTTCGACTTTTTTTCTCTTTCTCTTTTTTCATTTGTTCTTATTGCGCTGTAATTTATCAATTTTGCATCTAAAATTTTCTCCACCGGAAATTTAATTTGACCTATCTTTCCTTTTTATAATTTACAAAAATTATTGCGCATTTGATAAGACACGTATGATAATATATATTTGTAATACACGTATGATAATACATATTTGATAAGACACGTATGATAATACATATTTGATAAGACGTATGATAATACATATTTGATAATACACTTAGCTTCTGAAAGCTTAGTAATAAAAATATTCTATTATCATTTTTAGTCATTGCCAAATAAATTAACAAAAAAAATTATACAAAAAATGAAGCGTTTTTACATTTATTACAAAAAATTTTAAAGCAATTTTTTTTTGTTGATAATGATAGCGATAGTGATATCATTATCATCAGAAAGCTTAGCGACAATGCTTATTATCCGTAATATTATGCACGAATGAAATATTTCAATGTGTGCTGCAAAAGATTTTTGAAGCGATTTCTTTTCCAATAATAATTAATAATAATAATAATAATAATAATAATTGACAATAATAATAATTAACAATAATAATAATAACATTGTCTTTGGATAATTTCATTAAAAATAGGCAACATTTCTTAGAAATCATAAAAAATAATTTACTGTTTGAAAAAAACAAAACAAAAAAATGAGAAAAGAAAATGAAATGTTAAATAATAAAACTTCAGAGAATGCTATAATAGTACTTTTCATATGTGTCATACATAAATGGAAATATAATTTGCAACAGTAAATGACAGTAACCTTTCATTAAAGTTTAAAATGATAGGACAAAACAAAAGAATTTTGAAGATTCAATTGAACAACGATTGACAATTTTAATTTTTTACATAAAATAAATACAGATGGTTAAATTTTAGAAAGAATAGTATTCTTTCAAAGGTATGCATCACTAATGATAATGATAATTAATGCTGAAAACAAAAAGATTACGGTAACATTTTAGCTTAAATCAAAATTATCATTTAAAAAATGTTACCCTAAAATACTATTATATTATATTCTAAGGTTTATGAAATTTTCAGATTATTTTGATTTTAAATTTTTTAAAATAAACATTTTATTCGATAAATTTTACAATTTTGTTAATAACTAAAATTAAATTGAAAATTATTAAATCAATTTTTCAGCACTTTACAACAAACTGTCTCTTAAAACTTTTGCTATAATAATCGATCGAATCAAAAAGTGCAAAAGGAAGAAAAACTTAAAAATTCCTACAAATTCAAGTAAAAATCAAAATGTACTCATTTGATCAAAGGAAGGCCAAAAGACTTTTCTTACAAATTAGTTTATTTCATTTTAGTTAAATTATTATTAATTTGTATAAAAGGACAAAATATAAAAATGGAAGTAGGAAGAAAAAACCTGTTTAAAATTATGCTAATTGTTAGTTTTAATTGAATAATAAAATGAACAAAAAGAGTGACCTTTCCAAAAAATTTTTCGTCTAATTAATAGGTCAAAGTTGAAACTAATTGAAACATAAATTCAGAATGGGTAAAATATTTCAATTAATATAATCTTTTGGTGGGAACCATAATTTAGATAGAATATTGATGAATTTTGGAATATCCATGTTTGTCAGAAATAGCATTTGCTGAGATTGAATAATTAATTTTTTGATTATATGTTAACAAAGTTTGGCTCTATTTTGCTTTGAATGATATTTGATGAATTTTATAGGAGAAAATGAGAACAGAACCGTGTCATACTGTATTTGTTTATTTTTATTAATACCTTAAAAAAGTAAAAAGAAAATCGCCCATGATATTTTAATTATTCTCTCTCTTCTAAATTTAATTTCATCATTTGGAGGAAATCGAATTTTGATTTGAATTATATTTAAAATTTCATTTCTTCTTTTCACCTTCCATTTTATATTGTTTCGTTTTTATTTTGAAAAAATAATAGAAATGATAATGATATGAAGAAAATCACACAGCAAAATATCCCATCAATTAAAATATTAGAACATATTATAATTTAACTTTGAAAAGGGAAAAAATTTCTATTATTTGATAATTAATTCAATTATAATAATAGAATTTTCAAAATGATTAAAAAATTTTTGGGACATGCAAAATATTTATCAATTATTTTATCAAATATAATAAATGAATAAGCAAGAATAAACTTTTTTTTAAGCAAAAAAACAACAATTGATTAGAAAATCAATAATTGCTTAATTTCTGAATAAAGAATTGATTAGAAAATCAATAATTGCTATTAATTGCTTAATAATTGCATTAAAGTGATAAGAGAACGAAATTTAAAATGTTGAAAAATAATAATTTCTGAAGATGTTAACGAACAAATAAATTAATTTTGGCCTAATAAATTATGATTACTTCATATATATTACAAATTATATTAATTATCATATCGATGTTAATATCTAATTGTTCCAAATATTATTTATTTCAATAACGTTACTATTATTGCACTGATAAATTTGTAATCTCAATAATGTTACCACACCAACGAATATTTTCTTCAGCTCTTATTCCAAATAATTTCAAATACCATCTGCTTGAACTATCATGTAGTGAAGTTTCGTTATCAATAATGTTTTATTGATAATTTATAATTAGAACTACTATGTCGATATATTGTATGTATTATAAACCGCAATAATTACCGTAATAATCATTATATTGCTACCTATATTGTTCATTGAGATGGCATTAGAGCTAAGCAAAATTACACAGACAATTTTTCAGTAAATTTTGTAAATTATTTCAACTTCTTCATTTTTCTTATGATACGACAATATCATGCATAAATTTGATAATAAGCTTCGGTGCATTTTATTGAATACAAATGTTTGAATATTTAATAATCTCCTTCCTAAATTACTCCTAAAATTTTTCATAAAATTTAACAGGAAATGATGCATGAGAGAGTGAGAGAGAGAAAGAAAGAAAGAAGGTAAAAGATATATTTGCTGAAACGAGGACATTAATCATATTTCTTAAAACAAACGCAATTTTAACATTGCGAAGTGAGGAAATGAGTTGAAGGCGATGATGATGACAATGATGATAATGAAATAATGACAATGATGATAATGAGTGCAATGGTTACAATAGGTGAAAAGAAATGAAATTTCATAAGTATTTCCGGCTAGACACAATTATAGCAATAGAAACTAACAAATGATGAAATAAAGAAGAGAATGGCAGAAATGATAAAAACGAAGAGATCAACCGGTTTTCAGGAAATGATCAGAATGAATTAACGACCAACGACAAACATTTGTAAATGAAAGACAAAAATGGACAAGAAAAATAATTTTCGTTTTATCATTTTTTCTTACCTCTCTTTTAAATATACTGAGTATTCTACCCGGACACACTATAAAAAAAGAAAGATAAGAAGTCATAAATAGCAGGTAAAGAGGAAATTTAATACAATCTTTTCATTTGTGAAGTACAGAATGGTTCATTTTCAGTGATTTCATTTACACTCATTTTTTAAAATTTAACTAAGTTTTTAACTTATGGTTGTTACAGTTTTATTTAATTATATTTATTTGATATTAAAATTTTTGCCATTTAAGTAAAATTCGAGCTCAATCTAATTACTGTATATATAGTAAAAAGATTATATATATATTTTTTTCATCCATTATGGCCCATTCGATATTGAAATTTATATATGTATTATGTGGTTCCATTTATCGATATTTAAATATTCGATTCAATTTTCTATTATTTAATCCGTTTAATTACAAATATTCGGTATTAAAATTTATACTTGTTAACAAAATTCCATCATATCTGTTATCTAATATTCATTATATACTTACCATTTTATACTTATCAGCTTATTCGATATCTTGCAAAAAAAAAGTAACTGATATATTTTTGTCGAAGTTTATAATTTTTGTGCTTACAACTGATACCTGTATTTATAGATACTATTGTTAATTGAAGATAATAAACCATATAAATCAAATGATGAGCAATTATAGCACTGTCATATTTATGATATGTTTCATTGGTGAGATTTTTTTCTTCACTTTCTTATTCTTTTCAATTGATAATTAAAAAATTTTTACAATTACAGATTATCACTTCTTATCAATGAGATTAATAATCAAATAGATGTCATTAGAACTTTTCTCATATAATCAAATTGTTCTTACAGTTTCAAGCTCGAAGCTAAATTTAAAGCAAATTAAATCAATTATCTAAATCAATCAAATTTCATTTCCTTAAGTGGGTATAGTAATTTATGATTATTTACATTACCATTCTTTTCCTAATAAAACAAATATTTAATTGTTTGAAACAAAAATTACTCATAAGAATTGCTAGGAAATAAAATTTAAAAAAAGTTTCAAAAATGGGTATTACGAATTTTTTTGATATGTAAATTATTTGTAGTTGTATTAAACGCTGCATGTGATCAAGGGTGGCGATTTTCACCGCATTCTCGAAAATGTTATAAATATTTTCCCAAAGCAGTAACATGGAGTGAAGCTGAATTTCATTGTGTGATGCTAAATGGTCATCAATTATCAATACATAATTCGTGGGAGAATAAATTTGCTAAAGGTAATACATTTTATTTCTGTTGAATTTTATTTACAGCTTCGATGGGATGAAATACTTATAAATATTATGTTTGCAAACTAAAATCTTTCATTTTTTCATTTATATATAAAATGAATTGGAATAAGTACCATAATGAAAAAAAATTTTTTTAGATAAATTATTAAACAAACACAATTAAAATTATATTTTCTAAAATTACAATTTTATGGAAATCTTATCAAAAACTGACTTCAGCAATACTAATATTATCTTAGTGACAAGGAAATTATTCAGATATAATGTTAAAAAAGGAATTAGTACAAATGTTATCATTGTCACATTAATCTTATTAATATTTATCGTATCATTATCAACCTTGATCAATATCAGCCATATTTTTTGAGAAGGGTCAAAGATTAATAACAAGATTTGTGTGATACCGATATAACTATACAAAAATTTATTAAAATTTTATACAAAAATTTTAATAAATTTAAAATATAAAAATTAATAATTTAAAAAATATTTTCATTAAAATTCAATTACAATGAAAAAATTTGCTGCAAATTGATGGAACAGAAATCTGTAAAATGAATCATCAATACTATTAAAATTGTGACCTTTTGTAAATATTTGAGGCATTTGCAAAGATTGCAATTTTCTAATTAATTAATAATGTATATTAATACATGTATATTAATACAATAATATTAATATACAGTAATATACAACTCTCTAATTAACACATTGTTTGTTGGAAGATAGGTATCTAACTTATCGATTTATCACCTGAACGCATTAACAAACATTATTTCAAAGAAAGATCATTTTTTTATAAACGAAAATTTATTAAATTCTAAAATATAGATCGACCTAAGCAAATTAGCAATCCAGATTTGAAACTTTCTAAGCTAATATTATCGATGATCAATATTAAATGATGATATATATATTCATCTTTCAAAATAATCCAACATTTAAATTTAAGCGTAGGATTAAAATTGCTGATTCAGTTATGCTTATTAATTCTGCAATTTTCTGTCATTTTAGAAATAGCCCGTGACGGGAAAGAGGTATGGCTTGGTTCTGCGAAATTTGGCAAATTGGCCAAATCCGAATGGACTGATAAAACACCATTCAATTTCAAAGGCTGGAAAAATGGTTTATTTTTGATTATTCAACATTTCCTGTTCTTTTATTTTAATAAATTAAAAATTTTTTAGTTGAATTTTATTAAAACTTTTCAGTGATAAAATATTTGATTTATTTCAACTGAAAAGTCATAAATGATTAATTTGCTCATTTACTTATGAATGTTTTGTAATATTTAACAGTTCTATCAATTTTATCCTAGCTTGTTATGCAAGCAATTATCATTACTACCACAATTATTGCATGTTTCTAAGGATTCGGAAATCACTAATGAAAATAAATTTCTTAAATTTCACGTTCTTCTTGAATTTATGCTATAAAAAAATTAATAAGTTACTAAATGTATTGCTAAAATTTATAGGTAAAGAATCCTTAATTAAATTAATACGGCCATGCACTAAAATGAATGTAACAAATGGTGAATGGTTTCAAAGTTGCTGTCGAATAGTTGCACCATATATTTGTCAGAAAAATCTGCAACCTATGAAACTTCATATTAACAACAAGCAGGTAAATAATTATTTATAAATTCAATTAATTGAAGTAACTCTAGAAGTAGATAATTGCTGCGTAATTTTGTAAACTTCTTTTTTTTAAAAGCATAACAAATATATTCCGATCATACTTGCAAAAAACGAATCAATATTGGTATTTTTTAGCATTAAAGCTTATTACAATATTATAACAACGATTTTTTTTCAGAATATGTTTCCATCCTAAAAAATGGCATTTGAATTATAATACAACGTTTTATTGCTATTATAATAGTTTACAAATTTTGTTGATATCATATTTTTGTTGCAGAATAGCTACGATACGAGTTGAAAAAATTGTTTCCAAATCAACGGTGACGACTTCTATTGAGGAAATAACAATAACACATATTGTTATCTGGTATTTCTCTACTTATGTTTGAAAATTTATTTCGTGCTTTAATTCCGTAACATTTCAAACCATTAAGGAATAATTTATCGTTTTTTTTCAAATGGTCAGTACTAAAATGCCACATGCAAATAAATTAAAAAATTAAATTTATTAACATTTGAAATCATTTTAAATAATAAAGTAGAAAGAAGAAAAAAATGAAATAATAGAAATGAAATTTAACCAAAATTATTGTGTTTGTTAAATAAGTGACGAAATTATTCCATGTGATATAGTTTGAAAAAAAACTTTTAAATATTTATTTTACAAAGATCTGTTTTACTAACAATTTATGACATATCATTGAAATAATTGTTGACGGGTTTTTTCTTGATTGTAACAGCATCTGCCAAAATGAATATATCTTAAATTATCATTTATCCCTCTTTATTTGAACTTTGTATACAATGATAGCATTTCTTCCAAATGCAATTTCAATTTAACATTTGAGCTGTTATTTAATAATTTCATTACTTCTTTTTATCACATTGTTAGGCAAAGAAAAAATAAAGAAAATATCAATATAATTTAATGTGATAAGAAAATTTTTTCCGGTTACATCAATTTTTACTAGTTAATATTAACCAGACAACATTATTTTTCTTTAAATTAATAATATTATTAGTATAAAAGTTCTCATTATTATACTAGCAATATATCAATAATTGATAATAATACTGTTATACTAGTTATATATTATCTTTTTCTCTCATTCCTTTGTCTATATTTCAGTTTAATTAGTTGATAGCCATATTACATTGAAAATGTTGACATCCTCGTCTTCACTACTAATTATTATGACGAAATGAAATGTTTAAACAAATCTGATCACACTGATATTATCACTAACCACATACATTACTGAAGAATATGGAATAATGATGTATTGTCATGATTACCCTATTTGCGCACCACTCATTTCGAACGTGGAAAAAGCTTAAACTAACATTATTGTTCGTTGTTGAATAAAAACGAGGAAGAATCAATTTCATTCATAAAATTCATCCAACCAACGTCAATTGTTAGAACAATTCCATCCCATATTGAGTTTTTCCCAAGAGATCAAACCACACCAACAAGTTTTTCCGCTTTTTGTGGTCCACCTATCCATCCATTCCCTTTTTCCATACACAGAAGCATTAATAATCCAAGACTTAACCAAATATAGAGCAAAAAATTACCGCCGCGATTTCAGAGCAAGTCTTAGCCCTTTAATAACCTCAATATAATCGTGTCTTACAGCATTCGCAAGCTTCGCTTTTGTCCCTATCTCTACATGATAAGAAACAACAAGTTTTCTATCAGATTTGGTTCCAATTCCAGATAGCCAAATTTTCACTCATTTTCAACCTTACTCTCAGGTTTCATTTCTGAATTCGACTAATCATTCATTGCTTCAATTAGAAATTTCTCTCTATAAATCTTAGAAAACTGGAATGTCATTAATACTATCTTTGACCTAAATAATGCGATACCTCCTACTTTCAAGGCCATCGTTAATACAAGTCAGAAAAATTAATTATCTCTTATTTGCAAGGTAAAAAAATCTAAAGAGTGAAATATCAACATCCTATCGCGAAAGACATTAGGAACTTGATCAACCCTCTAAGCGTTTGGGATGTTTCGAATATTTAGCGTAAAACAGCTTCTCATTACGGTAGATGTGCGGAATGTTGTAACATTCCATTATTTCTATTACATCCACAATATTACAATTTTAGGTAAAACAATTTTAAGGTAATTTCTTGACTTCACCACAACTTGCATTGTTAGTTTTAATAAAACTTAACAACAATTGGTATATGTATGATATCATACAGTTGCGAATTCAGACTAATTTTTCATATGACCACTTACAAATGTATAAATATGCTATCCATGATCTCACAATAAATATTTGCATATTTGCATAAAACATTTACTTAAAACTTTTGTCGACAAAAACGCAAGTGAATGCACTTCGTCATGATAAGAGACAAAGAAGGTAGAAAGAAATCAGAGCACTTGAGAGAAATGAAATGAAGTAGAGCAATACTATAAATATATAATAAAAACTTATAATGAAAAAAGAGGAAAAGTAAAAATCAAACATACAAGCGCAGAATAATAAAAGCTAAAAATATCATGGCAAATATCAACATTAAATAGTAAATTTTATAAATCAAAAAGTAAAAAGGCATATAAATGTTGATAGTGTGAAGCAGTTGGAATATATAATTCATTGAAAGACGAGAAATACAATGCTAAAGATAAGCATAATTTATAAGTTAAAAAATAAATGCCAATGAATAAAATATCAATTGTTCCATTTAAAAAAGCTTATTGTAATTGATCAAGGAACGAAAAATCAAATAACAAATAATTAATAGATCAAAGATTAATTCAGATCAATCCCTTATAATGACAGCACAAAAATTAATAGAATTTACATCATTTCACTTCATTAGTCTCATAAGTATCTTGAACAGCTTAAAATAGCAATAAAAGCCATCGAATACTGATGCGTAAACTGCATATTTTTTGCCAATAAAAAACGAACATTCATGGTAAAAATTGCATCATTTTGCGTTTTTATCATTTTAGCAAAATCTTGTACTATAACACGAGTTCTATATCACATTTTCTTAGCATAATCAAAGTTAAATTATCACACAATATTAATTCTTGAGACTTGAAATTTGCAAAAATTATGAATCGACTACATATTACATAAAAAAGTTTTTCCCTAATCTAGACAAAAACAAACAAAAAAAATGGTGATTCTTTTCATTTTGATACGAAGACTCAAGCTGCTGCTTCAAGTATTTTTATTGATATTCATCACTGAACATATTACTGATGGATCGCAAGCTTTCTTCAAGAATTCATGATTTAATAGAAGAGATGCTGTAGCACGCTTCTTTACATCGCGGATCAACATTTGCGAAATAAACGAAGCTAATTCAGGAGAAACCTATCAAAAAAATTCAAATTGGAGAATAAACAGTGTAAATAAGATTCGATTCACTACTTTTTGTCTCCTACACAGAATTTACGAACTTTTTCTGAATTATTTAGAGTTAATTCTAAATTTAGAATTAATTTAATGTATAATACTCACGTTCACAGATTCACTGATCTTTGGAGGTGTATTATCACGAATCATTTTCATTGCTTGCAAAGGTTGCACATTAAAAAGTGGCGGCTCTCCCTGCACCATTTCAATGACCATTATACCCAGCGACCAAATATCAGCTTCGGTACCGTATGGTAACCTATTTATTACCTAAATAGAATTTTTTTTCTTTAAACCACGAAACCATTTCAGCAATTTCGAAAGAAACGAAGTTAAACGAAGAAAAGCAACACTGTTATTTAGATTCCTTTACGGTGTAAATCTGAATAGTTGTTTACGAAAAACAACTAAGATGAAAAACAAAAATAGGTGAATAGATAAAACAAACTTCCGGCGACATCCAATACGGTGTTCCAACAAGGCTACGCCGCTGTGGTATATCAACTGATAACTGTCCACAGAAACCAAAATCAGAAATTTTCGCTACACCATTTTTTGTAAGCAATATTGAATCACTTTTAATATCACGATGTACGACGCCTTTGGAATGCAAATATTCCAGCGCCTTCAAACACTGCGCACAAATAGTTGCTATTGTTGGTTCATCGATCCTGATAAGGATTAAAAGTATAAAGGACTGAAGATATTTTTCTAGTTTCAAAAAACTCGAGACAAACCATTTTTAACGAATACAAAGAAAAGACGAATTTCATTAAACCTTGCAAAAAATATTAGCACATGGAACAATTTCTTCAAAATTCTGCAACCTTATCTGAGTGATAATATCGGTCAGTGCTCCGCCTTCCATATATTCCATCAATACCCACAATTCATCACCTACCAAATAGGAGCCATACATTTCAACAACATTAGGGTGCTCGTAATCACGCATAATTAGAACCTTAAAATTTTTTCAAGAAAAAACGCAAGAAAATCATCAAACAAACACATGACAGTTTAATTTGAATATTTCAAACCTTTTACCTCATTAAATAACAGTTCCCTTCGTTGCTGTTTCAAAATGTTCATTTTTTTTACAGCAATTTTTCTTCCAGTTGAAATCTGAAATTCAATAACTGCCTTACCTTATATTAAGTATAAATTACTTCAACCTAACAGTGATATTTTGGCCACTTGCTTTCAAGGAACATAATAAAGATGTGCAGTAAAATATAAAATAATAGTTCGGTCATATTGAATCATCTCATGCAAATATGGAGAGCAATCTATGAGAACAAATGAAGAAACAATGATAAGATGCGAAAAATGATAACGCTCATATGAAAAGTAAAAAAAATAAAAGGAAAGAACGTCCACTTATTTACCTGATCGGCAGTTACAACGGTACCAGTGGAACCTTCACCAATTTGTGCATAATTTGTCAAGTCTGTTCGAGGATCTCCTGATAATACAACCATTTTCAATGCATCACGAAACTAAAAAAATATCAATTTTGGTTATATTTTTTTAAATGTAAAAAGTCAGCCCATATCTACTCGATGCAACTATATCCATATTCCTGCATTACTTGACCTCTTCTATTCTGAGATGCATGTTACTCACAAATCAGAAAATCGTTTCCTTTGCTATGCATGATTTTAGAAGAAACGAAAGAAGCTGCTTATTTGGTTAATAGAAGCAATGTCATTTTCAAGAAGTCAAAAAAACCTCGACTACTGAAAAACAAACTAAAAAAGAAACAGAATATACACTTCAAACCTCCTCATTTGATAGTCGATTATGAGAATCCTCTCGTTTCTGCCGCACATTATTATACCCCGCTGAATTATTGGGTCTATATGCTGATGCTTCATTATATGGTAATGTTGATGGCGAGGGGTTCATTTCAACTTGTAGCTAAAAATTTCAAGGAGTGAAATGGAGCATTCAAAGAAAATGCATCAATAATATTCCATGTATCTTATTTCAGTTTAGATATAAAAACTTGGAATACTACGAAAATACGAAAAGCTACTACATAAATAGAAAGAAATTATTGTTTAAATTCAATATGTGAAGCACCAGACAAAAGAACGTTGCTCAAACCAAATCATCTTTGGAGAACTATTTATAATTAACGTCTACATGAAAATGATATAAAAACGTTATTATTCATATAAAAAGATGATTATTATCATGGTTTCATTCATAGTGATTGCAGAAATTGCTCAGAAATTATAAGAAATAAGCTTGCATAAAGAAACCCACTCCATTACTGCAGAGAAAATTTGATTGTTGCAGTGAAGCATAACTTTTCGGATACACTTCAACAGCATTTGATAAATCGAATTGTGAAAGGCAAGAAGAGTTCTGTTGCAAATCCACAGGCTGTAGTATGCCTTCAATGAAAAAAGAAACATAAAACATTCTTGAGATTAAAAGAGTAAAAAAATGTAGCGGAAATGTATCTATCAAAAAATATTTGTCAGCTTTCTTTCTTCTTCCATCAATAGTGTTTAAAATTATAAAGCTTTTGCCCCAACTCCTTACCACTTTGCCATTTTGAGGTTCGCGGAAAGTTCATTTCTACTGGACTGAGTTTTTGAAATTTGAAAGACGGATGTTGCTGGGCGTGATGTTTTGGTTGCATACCAAAGAAAGGTATAGATAATGATCTAAATGAAGAAATTAGGACGCAAAATGAATGCATACGAATGAAGTTGTGAAGTTACGATAATATGAATGCCTACATTCTATGAAATTTTACAAAAAATTGGCAGTTTTGTAAAGAACTGAGTTCACCCACTTTTAAATCAATGTAAAGAACGAAAGCATACAATTGCGGAAAGCGTGTGCATGTTTCTGACGTGCTTGTAAAATCATTCTGCATACCATCTTGCAATTCAGCATGATCTTTTCGTAGCTCACTGTTCATTGATACACCACTGAAACTAATTTCTCTGGAATACAGTCACTGCATAACATTCATTGGTTGGATAGAGTGAATATTTAAAATCATATTTTTAAGGCCATACTAGTATACATTCTCTCTCTGTCTCTATATATATATGTATATATTAAAGAGAAAAGTGGTTGATATCTAATCGAAAAAAACCTAAACTTTATGAAAAATTTGACCTAATTTACTCATTAATAAGATTAATTAAATCTCCTAAAACCCTTTTTTTGTTTCAAAAATTCATTTTGGTTTTCTTCATGTAGCATTTACAACTTGAATTCTAGTTAAATACTAAATACTTCAGACACGGCAGTGGCATGTCTCCACGAACTACTGTCTTGATTTCTGCTATTTCCGTCGGTGTAATACAACTGGGATCAATCATTGGACGTGGACGACCTCGTCTATTCGGAGTTATACCAATTATAGCTTGCCACTGCTAAAAAATATTGCAGATTTTGCTACAAAAGCAATATTCCAGAAAAAAGAGATAGTGAAAAGTATTCCTATTACATATGTCTTTAAACTGTAATGCCAACCACATTGGTGGATTGATTAATACCGAATTACTTCACTGATAAAATTATATGAAACCAAGGTTTTTATATATAATCATCCTTAAGCAACTGGACCATCTAGTAAAACTGCAAACATTAACAACTTAACTTACTTATTTATATACAATCATATAAAAATGTATTAAATGGTGCATAAACAAAAACTATAGAATAAATATGTCGACAAAATCAGAAAATCGAGCTCGCGAAAATATCTTAAAAAGGAATATATCCATATAACACATTGAAGAAACCTTTGGCAAACCATGATATTGGCCGGTAATAGGATCAAATCCTGCATGATAACGATGCTCAAAATTAGTTGGCATTGAAATCTCCACCTTCTTTGTACGTCTTCGAATGGACATCTGAACGATGAAAACGGAAATGAAATCAAGCATGTGCTAATATTGTTATATCAAAAATTCAAAATACTGTTTCTGGAAGTACTTTAGAAAGAAAAACGAATACGGTAATTAATAAAAAATGACCTAACATGCCAATATGATTTATTGTTTACCTTGAATAGAATCTTCGATATTAATTAGTTGAATTATTTGGTTGGTATTACTCTTCGTCTCCGTAAATGTACTTCATCCTTTCTCCAATAGTTCCCCGCCCATTTGAACTTATTTAAACTACATCCATCATTTTATGATTCGGCTGCATAAAACGATACATTTTACCCCAACATTTCCATATATATATATATATATATATATATATCCCGTTCAAATATGATGCTATGCTAATTAGCTTTCACAAAGATCTGGCAGACTTCTTACCCCACACCCATTTAATTTACAACTGAACTAAAACACTGAGAACTCACAAATCCATTAATTACTAAATTCCATCCTAAGGCTGCGCGAGACGGCATGAAATTTGAAAATCTCAACGGTTGATATATTTTAAGTTAACCTTGTACTCTTCGATTATGAAGTGTCTTAGGCTACCACATCAGTAGTTTATGTTTGTAATACGATTGTATGATATTACGATAGGACAGTTCGAGTTACGTTAAACACTATGGTTTACGGTCAACATGTTGTACATTTTAGTATTATCAGATTGGTGCTGCTAATCCACGGTTTACATGATGCTGATACGGTATTTCTTGAAATATTAATTAGATAATATTTTTGAATTTCTAATATATGAATTAATCAGGTATATTATTCCAATTAATCAGGTATATTGGTTGGGTACATTATTAATTTCAGGTATATCATTCCAGGAAAAATTCCAAATATTCAATCATATCCGAATATTTTCTAATCAATAGAAAATCTGTTCTTTTTTTCATGTTACATTGATACAATTGAGAAATTTGATTATTATCCCATAAAAATTACTTTCATGAAGTCCTTTGTTTCTTTAATTGTTGCAGTTTTTAATTGTTCCTTCATAAATCAATTTGTAATTAATAAAGACCGTAACAATATTTTCTTTTCCTCTTTCCAAAAATTTTCTTTTTTCATTTTATTTTGGCTTAGAATTAAGCCGAAGTATCAAATTTTAAAATGCTTTGTTGATTCATGTAATTTTTCCATATCAATGAAATTATCATTACTTACTTCAATATGGAAACAAAAAGTTGAAATTTTATCTCTAATTTACTGCTAATAAAATCGACGAACAAATATTATATTAGATATACTATTTTAGTAGCAAAAATACGGCATTTAAGGATTATTTTGATATTAGCATTTTAAATGATTTTCAAAATTGAAATAATTTTGTAAAATAACAAATATGAGAAGAATTAATTCCTTGGCGAAATATCTTTCTAATTTTTTTCGAAAAAAATTAACAATTTACTTTCATTTGCATAAGTTGATGATAAGACATTTTATTTTGCTTATTTCTTCAGACCCATTTAAGATTTCTTGAAGATAGAAGGAACACAGAAAATATTCATTTTGTTGTTGTCAATGATAATAACAGCTGATAATATTAATGTTAAATTTTAATCTTGGAAAATGTGTACTTTTTGATAAAATGTTTACTAAAATTTTTATTGCTTTGAAAAAGATTTCTTTCAAACCTATTTTTTATTTAAAGGTATGTGAGGAAAAGAAATTGATTCGATAAATATTGCGAGTACTTCCAAATTTAAAAGAAAAAGAAATTCTCATGCACAATAAGATATTACTAAATTTAATAACTAATGCAGGAAATATAGCATTACATGGAGGAGATTATTGTGAAAATCTTTTAAAGATATCAGGAAAATAAAGATGTAATTATTAAAAATTAGGGGTGTAAGCAATGCTTAAAAAAGCATTAAAAGCGATGGAAAATCGACTATTAGCAATTAATTATATTTATTATTAATAGATAACAGCGGTGGATATGCTATTAACGAATAATTACGTGGAAAAAATTCTTTGCCTTATTTGTGCAAATGAATTATATTAAAAAATCGGATTTTAAAACTGTTTTCTTAAAATTGTCTTTGTGAGTTAGCCAAACATCCATATTTTGCCACACATTTCCAGCAACCGAAAACAAATAATAGCAATTTATTTCTGTCTGAAACTAATTTCTGGCCAATAATACGGCATAGAAAAAGAATGTATGAACAGCAAATGAAATGCTGGAAAAATATGATATTGAAAATCCAATCTGAATAAGTTTTGGTATAGAAACTCTTGCAAAATGAAACATGCAAGTCGCTTTCAAGAGACAAGTATGGCAATGGACAACTAGGGAGACACTTGCAGTTAACTGGAAAGAGAGCGAAATAGCTAACAACAACAGTACATAGTAAAGGTTAAAGAAAGCAAAAAGAAATATCCAGTCATAATATATAGGATTCCCGTTAGAAATGGGAATAATTTGTAAGAAAGTACCACTGAAAATCCACAAAAAATCGAACTGAAAGCTATGGCTGTCGGAAATGTATATCAAATATTAATAATAATTTTATTCAGAACAAATAATAACCTTTCCATTAGAGAGAATAACAATAGTTACGATGAAATACGGAAAAAAAAGTTAAAAGTTTGTTGAATACACTGACTATCTTTCACAAACAAATTAAATTTGATTTAATATTTGAAATTATAATTTTATAATTTGACGTAATACTTGCTAACAACTGAATATTGCTCAGATGTTGAGATCTTTCTATGATAGTTCGAGTATCATCTGCGAATTTCTTTTTCCCACATTTGCTTCATAATTTCCATTTGTCGTTGTCCTGACAATTCATGTCCCACTCTATTAGATCGACCGCATCCAAATGGAAGTAACCATTCAATGATCTGATCATGCATACGTCCCACTCTGACGATCAATAAAAGAGGTATAGCATTGATGAATATTGCAAACGAAAGACTTGTGATTTCCTACAATCACAAGACAGTATTACAATGCAGTGGCAACAGATATTGTTATAACAAAAGAGATTAAAGCAAATTAGGTATGAATAACATTCAGCATATCAAAATTGTTTTTTTGTATCTTATCAAGCACTCAATATTTGTTTTGATAGAAAGACAGCCTTCAGTCAATGTTTACAATGCTAGACATCGTAATGGCAACTAATCTCTACGTATTAATGTTGAATATTTTATGAATACATACAATTTTTAGCCCTAATTATAATTTGTAGTAATCAATTACTTTCGAAATTGCAAAATATAAGAGGTCGGCCGAGAAAAAATGTGTCAAAAAGAATATTCCTGACAGGTTGAGGAGGGAAGTTATGATAAACATTATGGTTGCTATAAACATCGTCTTTGATGTTTTCATATTTTCTCGGATTTGATAACGTGATGATAATGAATCCACTGCTACTCGCATTTGAAGTCTAAATTAGAATATATCTAAGACGCAAAAAAAGCGTAAACCTTCAAGTTATAAATTCTTAATTACAGGTAAACCTGAAAAGAATCAAAATTGTTACATTACATTGCATCTTCATTTGGTAACAGTAAAGATGCCATTTCTGTAAAAGTAATTGTTTCAGGAGAATGATATACTAACATCATTTTTCTCTTGCTGATTATGCGTGCTATCAGAAGCAGAAAGAATATGCAAATCAGCGTCGGTATTTCCAATACCAAATTTATATACTTGACTGGACTGGTGGTAACCGAAGAGCAATAACTTTTGTTGGTTTTCTGGCTTTGATACAGTACCAATACCGCTATATTTTTGATGCCTAGTGCCAATTGAACCCACTAAAAAAAAATTCTTTAATTTTCAATTCACTACTCTTCAGAAGTTGTGTGATTACTACTTGTTATTCCGTTCCACTGATTTTGTACAATTTTTTAAGTGTGATTTATTTTTTGTATTAGTTTATTTAACAAATGAAAATGAACCGTCAAAGGTATGAAAGCAAGAGCAATTGGATATTTCCATTTTTGATAACGATGATAAAAGCACATAGCAATAAATCGTTCAGTAGTAATTGCGATGAATGCATATCGAAGGCATTCGACGGGCGCTATTTTAGAAATATTCAAAATTGAGCATCCAACAAAATCCTCCAAGAAGAAACATTGATCCTAAAATTATACAAAATTATATAAAATTAAGATTTGATAAAAGCAATAAATCATTGAAGGATTTGATAAAAAGGCTTTTGGCGAACTTTTTTTACTAATGCTGAATTTGCTGCACAATTTTAAAGCAAAGTTTGATTAAAATGCGTCGAGATAAATGCAACCTTATGAGGGTATAACCTTATTGCTTAAAGCTTATAACCTTATAAGTTATCATGCGATATATAAAATTGGATGATCGGAAAACGGCTACAAATGATCGAAGAAGTAATAAAACCAGCAAATTTGTCAACAATATCCTCAAATTTATATGGAATATCTGAAAA